TGTCTTCAACTAAGTAATGTAAGATTTTTAAGTTTCATTCAACAAACCATTTTTTTTAAAAAAAGATCGTAAACTTACCTGAGGTACAGTAGAAATAATAATACGGTAGCAGGCTTCTTTAACGTATGATTTACATTTCGCACAAGTAAGTAGACCGTTGACAGTCTCGAGATAGTCATTTTCGGATGAATTTACACGCCAAAGGATGCCCGATCGAATAATAGCCATATAACCAAAAACACGGCCAAAAATGATATCAGAACCTTCCTATAAGGAAAAAATTATAAAATTTAATTTAAGAAAAATCACTACTGGATAAACGGAAAACTCACTTATATACAAAATTACCTGATCTTTCGAAGCTGAAATAGGGCAAGCTTCATCGATAAATGTAATGACAATTTTAAATGTAATGCGATCTAGATTTGCAAGAAGCTGTATGGAGGATAAAATCTTCAATGCTATGGTGATTTAAAGCTTTATTTAACATTTACAGTAGATCACACACCTCTGTCAACGCCAATGCAAAACCGTGTCTGGCACCTGCACGTGGACTTGCCAAACCTCTAGTCAAGCGAATCAATGAATAAGCTACTTCGGGCCCGAATAGCTTTTCCGATATCTCCGTAACCCTTCAAGTATCAAAGGAACTTTAACACTGATTCGAATGGATTACATATGCCTTAAGCCATTTTTTTAAAAAAAAAGTACTTTGAAAAATTATTGAAATCATTAGCTGAATCGATATTCGCTTTTGTATTATCAAACTTTTCATATAGGTGGTTAATTAATTCTCCAGCAGCTTTTTTTCGAATAGAAGAATCTAAAGATGCTAATTCCCAAAAATAATCATACGTTGCTGACATGATTAACAGATAGAAATTTTTGATGAAATTTTTTTTTTATTTGGATTTACGATCTGTATCACGTGGAAGAACTGCCCGTAGACAGGGACCAGAAAATATCGATTTGTTTTGGCAAAAATATCTATCGATTTGGTCAAAAATATCGATTTATATCGATTTGCCTAACCGTCCAATCAGAATGCAGAATTGGGTGTAACGTGATCAGAACCTCAAAAAAA